TTCGTGGTTTAATAAACTGGACAAAGATACTTAAAAAAGCATGAAAGAGCTGCCCGCTGAGAGCAGTCATGGCTTTGAATGTAATATCATGTCCTCTCGCTGCATCAGCCCCTCAGGTGCTCTCCGTCTCAACTTCCTGCTTGCTTCATCCCTCTCTTCTCAGATGATTTTCAGTTTTCTCTGATTTACCTCTTTCAATAACCCCGCCCATGGCCCCGCCCCAATAGCTGTGATCGGACAGTTGATTTTTCATTCGGGAATCGATGACGCGTTTTCATCTTAAAAAGAAAAAAAAGTTATGCAAAACAAAATGCTAATACACCTCTTCACTTTGTTTGCTGTGTTGTAGCATGGAAAAATTCATGTGACAATGAAAACAAAAGGTTAATTAATTCTCATTTAACATGTTTTTCCATTTAATTATGACAGTAAATTGTGTAGATAAGGAAATACAAATAAAAAAGTGTGTTTTATTTCACTTTTATTTTTGTTTTCATTTAGACATTTAAAATCTTCCACAGTGTAAAATGTCATTTGGGTTGACTTGTGTTTCTTCAGAGGGAGCCGGTGATTAATGTTCCCCTGGTGATGTCACATGAGTCAATGTCAGTTGAGTTAAAAAAGAAAGTCTGGGGTGACCTCAGCAGACTCTGTAGACCACTCTCTCGGCTACATTGGCTGCCAACTGTCAACGACTGAGCTGCATTCTGGGTAATGTAGGCAAGTTTTCACAAGGAAGGAATGTGTGGAATAAAAAAGACAATATATGTAGTTCTGCATCAACACTTTTTCATCCTTTTTTTTAAATGTGAGCGCAGAGTTACATCAGTGGAGTGTGTGTTTAAGGTTCAGTTGGACATGCGGCTCTCCCATGTGTATAATATTGATGTTGTCAGTCGTCAGTTTTTCTACAGACCTTCCATCACCGCCGACCTCCATTAGCTGTTTACTGTCGTCATCTCTACACCATATGTGAATCAGCTGTGTGGCTGAATACAGAGGGAGCTGCCCCACCCACCTGCTCCCACCGTTACACAGAACTGTGATGCACAACAAGGCATTCAATCAAATATCTTTATCGAAACAAGTGTCCTCTCATCAGTTGTTTTAACGTCTGTGGACACACACCTCATTTACACTGGTCTATACATGACTGAGGATTCATGTGTGGTGGAGGTGGGAGGCTGGTGGTATCTAACCAGTGTCAGAAGAAGTTACTGGAGTGAACAAAGCAGAATATTAAAGTGAAAATCCTCATTCAAAACTTAAAATCCCAGTATTATCAAGTAAATCTGCTTATCGAAAGTAATAAGTAGTCGCTGGGCAGAATGGGCCTTTTAAAAATGTTATAACGTTATTATATGTTGTTATAGAGATCCTGTTTTCTGAATATTATTACTGGTTGCATTAACACACCACATGTGAGTGTCACAGCTGGTTGAGTTGGAACTCATTTGACCTACTTTATACAGTGCTGTGTAATTTAATGTGTAGCTGTATAATATTTTGATAAGTTGATCATATTTTTGGTTATGTAAAATCATGATGCGTGAAGTAATTATAGAAGTCAGATAAATGTGTGCAGGAAAAGGCAGAATATTTCCATCTGAAATGTGCTCAAATAGAAATAGTAAATGCACTTTGTGACTTTGCACCAACACTTGTCAGTCAGCTGCAGAGCAGCAGGTCGATTACTGAACCTGTCAGGGATCACATTAAATACAGCTTCTTCATCACTGTTATAATAACATTTTGTGTTCTGGTATCAGTTACTGTATTGTATTCAGTCATGGTAGATCTTTTTAGTTTTACTTTACATAAATTGAATTCCAGTGACTTCCACACAGCGTCTTCATTTAGATGAAATAGAGCCCTGGTGTGGGGTCAGGAGTCACTTTACAGCAGATACACTGACGAGAGGACAAGTTATGAGCAGAGAGAGGACGTCCTGGTCACATTTATTACTCATCATTTAGTGATTATAGATCAATCAATAAATAGATATATTGGTTGAGTATTAGTTATTAGATAGTTATCAGATATGATAGTTGTTAGAATTGAGAGTGATGTGGCACCACCCACAGTGACCTGTCTGCAGCTGCACATGCTGACAATGATGTCACTCTCACTGGTGATGAATATGAAAAGTTAAACCGGTATTAGCACGTGTCCTCGGATCACTGTGATCTCCACCTCGCACTATATAACAAATACTGCGCCATGTGAAGTAATTTAACCCACCGTCTGTGCAATATTCCTTATCTGCTGCTATTTTTTTGATTTTTGTTATATCTAGGCTAAGTATTAAAATTGTACATATTATATTATTACATTATTTGTCTTAATATTTGGTACTGTCATTTGTAATACAGCAAATTTCCCCACTGTGGGACTAATAAAGGAATATCTTATCTTATCTTAACATAGGGAGGAGCTCCTGATGTTTTATTGTATCTGATATATATATATATATATATATATATATATATATTTCAATTGTTTCCCTCATACCGGCAGATAAAATATGGATTCATTGAGTGAAACACTGCAGTCATGAATATGAAAATATGTTTTGTGTGATGGACGGCAGTAAAAGCAGAGCTGTGATGCAGATTATGCAAATGCAGTAAAAAATAATGTGAATTAATTTTGGCTTGTAAAGCCAGTTGGCTGCGTTTTTCATGTTTATACCAGGAAGTTTAATTATATTTATATGTTAAATATTTATCTTAAGGTTGATATTAAAGGTAAGTGGGATTAGGTAAAAAAATCTGTTGAGGTTAAATGAGAGTAATAATGTGACCAGGACGTCTCTCTCTGCTCATAACTGTCCTCTCCCGACATTTTCCACATGAACTCAGTGTATCTGCTGTAAGTGACTCCTGACCCACACCAGGGCTCTATTTCATCTAAATGAAGACGCTGTGTGGAAGTCACTGGAATTCAATTTATGTAAAGTAAAACTAAAAAGATCTACCATGACTGAATACAATACAGTAACTGATACCAGAAACACAAAATGTTATTATAACAGTGATGAAGAAGCTGTATTTAATGTGATCCCTGACAGGTTCAGTATCGACCTGCTGCTCTGCAGCTGACTGACAAGTGTTGGTGCAAAGTCACAAAGTGCATTTACTATTTCTATTTGAGCACATTTCAGATGGAAATATTCTGCCTTTTCCTGCACCACATTTATCTGACTTCTATAATTACTTCACGCATCATGATTTTACACGCAAAACATATGATCAACTTATCAAATATTATACAGCTACACATTAAATTACACAGCACTGTATAAAGTAGGTCAAATGAGTTCCAACTCAACCAGCTGTGACACTCACATTTGTGTGTTAATGCACCAGTAATAATATTCAGAAAACAGGATCTCTATAACAACATATAATAACGTTATAACATTTTTAAAAGGCCCATTCTGCCCAGCGACTACTTTTACTTTCGATAACGCAGATTTACTTGATAATACTGGGATTTAAGTTTTGAATGCAGGATTTTCACTTTAATATTCTGCTTTGTTCACTCCAGTAACTTCTTCTGACACTGGTTAGATACCACCACCTCCCACCTCCACCACACATGAATCCTCAGTCATGTATAGACCAGTGTAAATGAGGTGTGTGTCTCACAGACGTTAAACAACTGATGAGAGGACACTTGTTTCGATAAAGATATTTGATTGAATGCCTTGTTGTGCATCACAGTTCTGTGTAACGGTGGGAGCAGGTGGGTGGGGCAGCTCCTCTGTATTCAGACCACAGCCTGATTCATATCTGTGTAGAGATGACGACAGTAACAGCTAATGGAGGTCGGGGTGATGGACAGGTCTGTAGAAAAACTGACGACTGACAACATCAATATTAATCACATGGGAGAGCCGCATGTCCAACTGAACCTTAAACACACACTCCACTGATGTAACTCTGCACTCAACATTTAAAAAAAGGATGAAAATGTGTGATGCAGAACTACATATATTGTCTTTTTTATTCCACACATTCCTCTTCCTTGTGAAAACTTGCCTACATTACCCAGAATGCAGCTCAGTCGTTGACAGTTGGCAGCCAATGTAGCCGAGAGAGTGGTCTACAGAGGTCTGCTGAGGTCACCCCAGACTTTCTTTTTTAACTCAACTGACATTGACTCATGTGACATCACCAGGGGACATTAATCACACGGCTCCCTCTGAAGACACAAGTCAACCCAAATGACATTTACACTGTGGAAGATTTTAAATGTCTAAATGAAAACAAAAATAAAGTGAAATAAAACACACTTTTTTATTTGTATTTCCTTATCTACACATTTACTGTCATAATTAAATGGAAAAACATGTTAAATGAGAATTAATTAACCTTTTGTTTTTCATTGTCACATGAATTTTCCATGCTACAACACAGCAAACAAAGTGAAGAGGTGTATTAGCATTTTGTTTTGCATAACTTTTTTTTCTTTTTAAGATGAAAACGCGTCATCGATTCCCGAATGAAAAATCAACTGTCCGATCACAGCTATTGGGGCGGGGCCATGGGCGGGGTTATTGAAAGAGGTAAATCAGAGAAACTGAAAATCATCTGAGAAGAGAGGGATGAAGCAAGCAGGAAGTTGGACGAGAGAGCACCTGAGGGCTGATGCAGCGAGAGGACATGATATTACATTCAAAGCCATGACTGCTCTCAGCCGGGCAGCTCTTTCATGCTTTTTTAAGTATCTTTGTCCAGTTTATTAAACCACGAAGTGTCTTCAAGTTCACAAGTTCACCACTGAAGAGCAGCTTTTCTTCACCTGACTGAAACCGCACCAGAATCCACCCATGGTCCTCTTATACCGCTTCTTCTTCTTCTTCTTCTTCTGGACACTTGGCTTCAATTACTCCGTTGTCCCATTCTTCAGATGAATGCGGTGCAAGACACAAAATGATGTGTGTCTTGTAAATGTCCTCGGACACCATTAGACAAGACAAAGTGTTGGATGTTGCGGTCCAAGGGCCAAGAATGTCTCCGTGGGTGTGTCTGGCAGCCTCCTCATGGAGGGATGAATTCTCAGTGGGTTGGTGGATGGAAGACAGCACTCATACTCATCTGAGGAAACTGCTTCATTCTCTGCTGTGTCCACAGTTTTCAGGGTTGTTGTTTCTGCTGCAGTGAATCAGTAGGACACTGTAGGACACGTTTCTTTGAACAGACCCAAACCGCTGGACCCTGGCATCCAGACCTGTTGTGGTCACATCACTCACTTCTCCATCGTCCAGCTGATAAACCCAGTTGGCTGAAAGAACATGTTTTATCAAATCTTATTTTTCAAATAAAATTATTTTTCAAAACATTTTGAATAGCTGGCGCACAGGAAACTGTTTTAATGTGAAAGTCTGTCCACTATGCCAGACCTGCCGTGAAAGTTTGACATTTTTTGTAATTATTCATGTGGATCTCAGAAAGACTAGAACCATTTTTGTTAAATCAAAGTTATTCTGCGTGAAGTGCAAATGAACCTGATGGTGTGATGGTGGTGAACAACACGACAAAAGACATTTACAAAATCAAAATCACTTGTGTGTTAACGAGTGTTTATCACTTCATTTTAGTGACAATCCTCATATTTAATGTTAAATAAAGGGAGACACATGGAGTTTAAACCATCTGAATGTTAAAGCCTCTATGCTGCAGCTGAATGTTGATACAGTCACACACACACACACACACACACACACACACACACACTGGGCAGAGGGAGGTTATCAGGGTTTTGTTTGTCTCTTTGTGTCTCTGGTAAATGATCTGTGGACTGTGGTCCAGGCAACAAACACAGAGGATTAGTTTTGTGTGGGGCCCCGTCTGGCTCCGGGGCCCGAGGTCTGTGACAGTGTGTCATCGTCACATCAGCTGATCAGAGACCTGAGCACACCCCCACAACATTACACACTGCTTTGATTTATACTGTTTAACCAGAGACACCAGATCATAGAGTGTGAGGTGAATCTGTAACATGTCTGATTAATCTCTCCTCTCTCCTGTGTCCTCTCTCCTCTCTCCTGTGTCCTCTATCCTCTATCCTCTCTCCTCTATCCTCTCTCCTCTCTCCTCTCTCCTCTCTCCTCTCTCCTGTGTCCTCTCTCCTCTCTCCTGTGTCCTCTCTCCTCTCTCCTCTCTCCTGTGTCCTCTCTCCTCTCTCCTTTATCCTCTTTCCTGTGTCCTCTCTCCTTTCTCCTCTGTCCTCTGTCCTCTGTCCTCTCTGACTGTAGTCCTGTCTCAGGATCTCTTTGACCTGGCTGATGCTCTGGATGACAGTAAACCAAGTAAGTGCATTGGAACAACACTCAACACTCACATGGCTGTGGACATGCAGACTGTGTTTGATTGACAGTTCAGTGCCCAGCTCAGCTCCACCTGAGCAGAGGTGTAATGACAACACCTGTGCAGGTGAGCAGGGTCTTTAATGTAAACTCTGCAGCAGCACGGAGGTTAAACATGGCCTGATGCTCGTCCATGGAACTGACTGAACATTACAAACAGCTGACATCCATCAGGTTTCTGGACCTGGTCTCAGTCACAGTTTAGTCTGCAGCTCTGTGAGCAGTGGTTTTCCTCTCTGTCTGATCAGATCATCTCTTACCAACTGTTTCTCAGTGTGTAAACAGTGACGTCGCTGCTCCTCCTGCGATTGGTCATTTGTCTCTTCCTGTGTTTCAGATCCTGTTTCCTCTCCATCTTTATCAAGTCTCTTCTTCTGATTGGTTTAAACCCCCCCCCCCCCAGACCTCAGACTGAGCTATTTATATGGATGTAAACACACCTACTGTTTCGTACGTTATTTAACTTATTCTATGGTCTGATGACTGAGAGCTGAACATTTGCAATAGCTATAAACTCTCTCACACCAGTTTCATGCATTGTGTTGGAACAATGATAAATTGCATTGTCCTTTAAAACTAAACTAAACTAAACTAAACTTAACTTAACATATGTGACGTTCAAACTGTGACTGTTACAGATGTGATCTGGGTGGTTGATGATCTTGATGATCACAGACTCTGACACAAACCAGGTACAACAAGGGGCAGGTAGACACCACGTGGAACAGACACTGAATACAGTATCAGTAGGAAACAAACAGGTGGAGTCAGGTGACCTTCACTGACGACCAATCACACGAGCTCCTGTCATCTCCTCTAAAAGCAGTGAAGGAGCGAGAGAGGCTGAGAGGGAAAAACTTGTATCTCCACTGGTTTCCATTCATTTTGCATGAAACATGAAACTCTAATAGGAAACATCAGGTTTACATGAATGTGTTACTGTACCTCTGTGGTTACACACTCATGACCTTTCACATCGGTCTGAACTGTGTCACTGCAGGTTGACTTTTACATCATATAGAAATGAATGGAAACCAGCGGCTGCCTGGAACAGTCAGGAACATTTAAAGATGTGTTCAAAGACAGCACGACAAGTCACTGCTCCTCAGGACCTCCTCTTGCTGCGGGACTGTAGATGGCGCTGTACTGCAGATATTCACCACCAGGTGAAATAATCCCTTCATATGATTATGTATAAATGAACACCTGATTCATCTGTTCCCACAGCGACTCCTGCACCACGTCCACCTGTACCCGCAGGAGGAGCAGGTGAGCACCACACAGCAGCTGCTGATACTATCTTCTGAAATAACTGTAGAACATGATAAAGCACAACATGTGAACCGATGGGACTAAATGTTTTATGTGACGTGAGGAGCTGGAGCAGCTTTAGTTTTCTGGTGAGCAGCATGAGCTCACCTGTGTTACACTGTGTTATTACCTCCGTGCTCCAGGATTGTTTTACATCAGGTTTAAAGAAACATTTCATACCTAGTCATTTCATCTGCAACACTATCATCAGTTTGTATTTTCACTTTTAGACAAATCCACCTGCACATCACGTGACAGTGAACTCATCACAGCTGCAGACTGTGGCTGCTCATCTATGTATTTATATCCGTGTTGTCTACAGATCTTGATTTCGATGATTTATCTAAAGTCAGCGGCACCACCACCACCACCACCAAAGCCCCACCCAAGGTCACACCTAAGATCCCCGCAGTTACCAAGGCCCCAGTCAAGCCCAAACCCAAACCAGGTGAGCGAACACACCTACACACCTACTGAGTCCCGAGTCCTGAGTCCTGGACCTGGGTGCATGAGAGCCAGGTTTAGATTAGATCCTGGTTTATATTTTAGAAAACAAGCTGGTTAGAGGAAAGAGAAGAAACATAGAACCAGATGTTTTTGTTAAAACAAAGTTATTTATTTTGCCTGGACAATGTGCATAAACAACCAGATGAAACACAATAACAAAAATAACAAAGACACAGTCTGACCAAAAGAGTTACAGCTTCTATCTTAAAGAAACAGTGGAAATAAAAAACTTCTCTTAATTCATGTTTCCATTAAAAACTGTGAACACACAGAGTTTACCGAGTTAAGTGAGAGCTACACTGCTGATCTGTGTGTGTGTGTGTGTGGTGTGTGGGTGGGGGGGGGGTGGCGGGGGGGGGTGGGTTCCTGCATAGACCACATCCTGCTGAGCAGACACACATAGAGCTCTACAGAAGAGCGAATAACAAATAGTTAACATATTGGCTAAACATTAGCATCATGTGCAGTCAGTCTGCACATGATGCGTTCAGGTACAGTGTGAACTGGCACAGCAACATTTGGAGAGATGTCCTGTGTGTCTTTATTTGTCTGATGTCCTCTGACTGATCACTGATCATTGACCTTTGACCCTCACAGCTGATGATGACTTTGACCTGGCCGATGCTCTGGACCCCAAGAATGACATCGGTGGCAAAGACAAGAACAAGGGTCAGGGAGGTGGGTGGGGCTTTCTTACCTGTCACCTGTGTCTCAACAACCTGAGCTGGAAACACAACCTTCAAACACACACACACACACACACACACACCAACTCAGAGCTTCCTTTACCTGTGAGTGACAGATCTTCATCTTCATCCTCATCCTCAGTGATGATGTGTCTCTCCTGCAGGTACGTTCTCTGACAGTGACCTGATTGATGTCGGGAAAGACGACACCTACAAACCCGACAAAGGCAAAGGTAAGGTCTGAGCCTGACGCTGCAGAGGTACGACCACATCGAGGAAAAAAAAGAGATCTGAAATGACAAGAATGAAGTCAGAATATCACGAGAAGAAAGTCGTCAAACAGGTGAAAGGACAGTCAGTGGCTTGTCTGTCTAACAATAGAATAGACTCTTCACAATCTTTTCAATGTCCTGATGATGATGAAGATGATGATGATGAAGATGATGATGATGATGATGATCATGAGGATGACCAAAAGGTGAAGTTTCTCCTTATTAGTGACACCTGTGCTAAAGTAGAACTTCACAGGATGCTCCAGGTTCCTCATTTTAAAGCTTCTTATACCTCCCCTCTAAAACAACACACAATCTAATATTACAACTTTATTCTCATAATTTCAGATTTTTTTTTTCCTCAATGTGGCTCTAACGCTCCGTCGTACAGACAACACTGACATGTAACAGTTCAGACGGATGTGAAGCTGTCTGTTGTTTCCACAGGTGGAGCTGCAGGTGGAGGCAGTGACCACATCGACCAGTATGATGACCCTAACAGTGGTGGGTGTCCTCTGTCTGTGGTGACGATTCATCAAGGTCTGTCTGTCTGTCTGAGCTCACTGTGTGTGTGTGTGTGTGTGTGTGTGTGTGTGTTTACAGAGACCACAGCAGAGGTGGGCACCATTGCAGGGATTGTCAGTGCGGTTGCCATGGCGCTGGTGGGTGCCATCAGCAGCTACATCTCCTACCAGAAGAAGAAGTTGTGCTTCGGTCTGCAGCGTAAGACTTTTACATCAGAGGACACTGTCCTCTACACTGACACTGGACTGTGTGGACGTCTTCATGTAGCTTTAATTCAGTTCAATTCAACAGGCTTTATTGGCAGGACAAGTGTTGACAAAGCACAATTGCAATCATAATAACCATCATTAATTATTATTAATTAATAATTAATTATCAAAGAAAAATATAATTATTAATAGAATTAATACACTAGAATGATAATGAAATAAAGAAAAGGAAAAAACGCAATAAAATGATATACTTATTCACATATACTGTACATAGCTTTAACTTAGACTGTAACTCCAGCTACATCAGGACTAACTATCAGCTGTCACTGTGTCATTAGCTCAGTGTGTAAACTTCCTCAGTTATTCAGTGAATCAGATTACACTACTGAAACTTATGGTCTCTGCTTTCTTTACATTTTAATGTAGTTTCACAGTCTAACAGCTGGAGGATTTGTTGCTAAGCACTTTTTTTTTAAAAAGTCACTAAATCTAGCGATAAAGTCGCTAAGTTGGCAACACTGGAGGAGACGTTCAACCAGTGTCAGGCTTAAGAAATGGTACGGTCCACTTTAGGGGTGTCTGAAATTGTATTCTTCCAAGTGTGAATATGGGAAATATATTGTAATATTTACAATCACAGGTAAGACGGATATATAAATGTTTCAACCCCCCTGAACTCTTGCCTCTTTTGGGGGGGGGGGGGTCCAAGTCTTAATCAGGGGGGACAAAGCTCCCCAATCCCCCCCATAATTCTAACCATGTTAACATGTAAACATCCGTATCTTTGTCCAGTCAGAAGTGCTCATAGCACTTGATAACTATAGGTGTGTTTGTCGTATTGATTAACACCAGTGGTGAAACAGTGATTACAGCCTGAACTATCATGATCACAGGTAATAATCTCCACATTGATCATGATGTCTTGATTATAAAAACAACTCAATGAATCAGCTGAGAAATATAAAGATTGTAGTTCTTTTTTATCAGTTTGGTTTACAGTCCGGTCCAATATGATGGTGACGTTGACGTTATCATAGCAACGGGCTGAAACAGCGAATGCTGAATCTCTATATACAGTATATATGACTGTAGCGCTGGTCTTGATCCTTCAGGAAGGTGTGGACCAGTGATGTTTGGTCCCTCCCACTATAAATCAAAATGTGATTGGTTAATTCACCTGGTACTTTCAAAACAAACACATGCCGCCGTCTTAACCAATGAGTGAGCCAGCTAACCTTTTCTCTGCCCAGAGACAACAAAACAAAAGAAGAATCTGATTGGTTTACTCTGGTTTGATGGTTGTAGGACAGTAATCCTTTAATTTCTGAAGCTAATCTGATAGAAAATGAGGCTGAAAATGAAAGATATTAAATCTAACGTTTAAAACCCTGAGGGTTCTGCACTGAGTCACACTGATACAGAATTATGATAGTTTTCTGTTTAAAACCACCAAGTGAGATGATCAGTGTATTAACAGATCCATATATCATATCAGCCCAGTATCAGTCCAGTATAGGCCCAGTATCAGTCCAGTATCAGCCCAGTATCAGCTAAGTATCAGTCCAGTATCAGTCCAGAATTAGTCCAGTATTAGTCCAGTATCAGTCCAGAATCAGTCCAGTATCAGCCCAGTATCAGCCCAGTATCAGGCCAGTATCAGGTCAGAATCAGCCAAGTATCAGTCCAGTACCAGACAAGTATCAGTCCAGTATCAGTCCAGTATCAGCCCAGTATCAGTCCAGTATCAGTCCAGTATCAGCTAAGTATCAGTCCAGTATCAGTCCAGTATCAGGCCAGTATCAGGTCAGAATCAGCCAAGTATCAGTCCAGTATCAGTCCAGAATTAGTCCAGTATTAGTCCAGTATCAGTCCAGTATCAGGCCAGTATCAGGCCAGAATCAGGCCAGAATCAGGCCAGAATCAGCCAAGTATCAGTCCAGTATCAGGCCAGTATCAGTCCAGTATCAGTCCAGTATCAGGCCAGAATCAGGCCAGAATCAGCCCAGTTCAACACTGTATCTGTATGTGAATGTTCTGTGTTATAACAGAGAGTCTGAACACTGACATGGTGAAGGCTGAAAACCCTGAAGCTGTGGTGGCTACAGAACCACAAGGTAAACACGCACACGCACACACAAACACACACACACACGCGCGCGCGCGCGCACACACACACACACACACACACACACACACACACAGATAGACATATATACATTTTATATACTTTTGATAAATATCAAGTATAAAAGTGGAATACATCGTTTGTCCTGTCTGTGCTGTGTCTGTGTTTCTTAACTGTCACTTCACTGCTTTTAGAACATCTTGACAAACAACTGATTGATTGACTGATCTATTGATTGTATGTTGAAATGTAATAATATGACTTCCTGATACGACCTTCACCTGAGTGACATCATGTTTCGTGTCGTCAGTCCAACAGACTCTGCTGGAGCCACCCAACGCTGAGCCCCCCACTGAGGAGAACGCTGTGTAACACACACACACAAACATGTCCGACCCCCACCACACCCCCCTGCACACACACACACAGACATACATACACACACACACACTCACACACACACACATGGCCATGCTGCAGTCTATTGTGTAGCATGTCCTCATTGATCCTGTGGCTCTGTGCTGGGATTTGTAGTCCTTCTACACCGAATGTGAACATGATTTTTTACTCTGCTGTGAACAGTGAACAGAACCTTTCTACATGTGTGTGATGGTAGTAATGTATTGTTTAGTCTCTATTGGTTTACAGTGTGTGACACAGTCAGGTGACAACAACTGGAAACACAACAACCTGTTCATGTTGTTATGTGATGGAGAAACAGTCTGTGGGTGTGTGTCACAGCTGCTCTGACTCACAGGGGTCACAGCGGGTCTCTGACAGTGAACTGGATTATGGTCCAGTTGGAGAGCATTGTGGGAAATTCTTAGCAAGTTCACCTCCTGTGAACCAGAGACGCTGCGACACACACACCTGCTATTTCTAATTGTTTTTCTTTTGTTAGATGAATGAAGGTTGTGACTCATCATCAGGAACGTGTCACTTCCTGTTGACACAGCTGATTATCTGTCATCAATATCCCTTTATTGATCGTATCTGAACTGGATCAATATGGTACTCGGAGTCAGTCTCCAACATTTAACAGTCGTCCCAGGTTTCTGTGCCAACACGTGTAGCAACTGATAAAGATAATGTCGACACACATTATCACAGCAGCCTGTTATTATCACGTTAGACTATGAGCCAAGCATGTACTCATAGAACTGAGGTTACAACACGTAACCACCATACTAACACTTATTCCTATGACATGTAATATTTATTAGATTAATGTGTTATCACTATAATGATGATGTTTGTTCAGTGGATGATGATGATGATGAAGAGTCACTGATGTTTGACCACCTGGTAGATGTAGTGCTTCTTACTGGGCGTCACTATTGGCTTTATATACTATATGTTCATAGACCTGGAGTCACGCAGGTCACCACTGTGTACGTCATGTGACTGTTACATCATCACGTCGTCTCTCCTCATGAACAAAGTTGCCTTATTCAGATTCAGACTTTTGGCAGTTTAAGGCATCTCAACGTTTGTGTCTGCAGCTTTTTATACTGTAAATATCCTGATGTTTTTTCAACTTGGCCTTTAAAAGGAAGAGGTGATGATCCGACAGCTTCTTTATACACTACTGAAGAAGTTAAAGATCAGAACACCAAATACAAAGGTCAAATACAGAATCGCCACATTTAATGTAGCATAAAAATGATGTTAGTTCAGTTAGCTCTGCTGTAGCTTTAGCTTAAACATGCACAGTGTCTTTTCTCTCTGGTCGATAGAACAGGGTCTTCCTCTGTTGCAGGAGAAGAACAGGAGGGAAGTTTGGTTGAAGATACAGCTGCTGCAGACGAGCTGATGATTGTTTGTACTGTGTTTTATTGTGTTAGCATTGAGATGCTTGTGTGTGCACAACTGAGCTAATCTCTATCCCAAGGTGGCCGTCATAACATGTGGATGCTAACCAGTAGCGCAGCAGATAACTGCATATTTCAGGGAAATCTTTCAAATGTGGATACAAGTACTAAACTTGGCACAAATCCTCAACACGTTGGCCACTCCAAAATTCAAGATGGCCACCATTTCTGGCAAGGAAGTTCATCCACTATTTTCTCATATGAGTAATCTAGGTATCAAATCGTACATTTTAACAGTGTTGAAGTTGAATTCAGTACACTGTAAAAATGAAATGAAAGTATATTTCAGCAAAAATATTTTTTACAAAGAAAAATTACTCACAAAAAAGCTTGCTAACACTAGTGCTAACACTAGCAAGTTAGCCTAGCGAGCTAATGTTAAGACAAGTAAACAAGTACTGACTGTCGACTCTTACTAAACTTTTGGTTCTTCATTCATAACAAATGGTTTGCAAATACATTGCGTTTTATGCAGAATTTTTTAGAAAAAACAGGATTAAAATTTATAACAAAATCATTGAAATCTGTCCCATGGGTATAATTCTGTGGTAATATATGTCTCCTATGCCAGAAATGATGGTTATCTTGAAATTTTGAAATTTCAAGTAGCTAATGGGATTTTTCAAATGAATTGCCCCACAGGGAGAAACATACCAATTTTGGTGTTTGTAGCACATTTGACGGATTATTGCAGTTATCTGCTGCACTACAGGGGCAGAGCAGGACATTGTGAACATTCAGGGCTTCGCTCAAACTTAAGGGGCCGAGGATGAAAGCATGTTTTTACATCAAGCCCAAAGACTCTGCTAATTATCAGGTGACCTATAGATGGCGATATTTCCCCTGTAGGTAAAAGAGCTCCAGTGATTCTGCTGGCTGGTGGAGTGATACAGTGAGCAGGAACCCACAGAAACACACTGACGAACTTTAACCTGGTGACTCATCAATACCCATCAATAAAATATATTGATTTCAGTTTTTGATCAGAATCAGAATGATAATAATAGATAATAATATATAATATTAAAGGTTTATACAATTTTTTTTACAATCATATGACAATCCTGGCACACAACAGTGGGATAATAACTGCCTCCTCTGTGATGATTTATTATAGAAAATATTTTGTAGAAAAATGAGACAATCCTGGTGAAGATGAGTCTTCAGATTCATGTGTGTTACTGTGTCTCTATCACAGTGCAGAGATGCTGTGATGATCAGTCTGGAGGCCTGTGATTGGCCACCGTGGGATGAGATGTAGAGGCGTGTAGAGGGTTGTGGACCAGGTCGTGGACCCTGGTGAAGCTGATATAATTTACAGTAGAACCTGCTTTAGCAGTGTAGGTGACGTTAGCAGCTGTAGTTGTAGGAAGTTGAATAGAAGCTGTGATGGTTGTACATATTACTGTGTTTGTACTGTAGCAGTGTGTATTAGACTATACTCTTCAGTGTGTGCGTGCGTGTGTGTGTTTACACTCTTTGCCTGCTCTTTTTACACTTTGTACCCGACTAAACTTTTCCTAATAACGTAGCTGAACTTTTTGTATCTGCGACTTTGTTGTGCGCTTTTTCTTAGAGACTCGCGGAGTCCTGTGTGTTCCTCGACCAGAGGCTTTTATTTTGGAGACCAGGGCTGAATCACTCACTGTTTCCTTTAGAGAGGGGGGGGGGGGTGATGGATCAGTTGGAGGTGGAGGATTTTGGAAACCGGCTCCTGGTCTGAACGAGAAATAGTTTCTACATGAACCATGTCAGACACTGAGAGAGTTGCTGTTGTATGTGTTGTACTGTAGACAGTGTTGTGTTGTGTTGGTGGCCTATAAAGAGAGTGTGTTATGTAATACACCACAGCCTGGTCTCCTCCATGTTGCCTTGCTAAAGCAGCTGCTTGTGCCCACAGTCCCTCTGTGCTCGAGTCCTTGAACACTGGATCAGCTCATCAACACTCTGATCTCAGGCTGGTTGAACAAAGATGATTGTGTGTGTCACTTCCTGTTGTTGAGCAGGAAGAATTCACTGTGACAAAACAGGAAACATGAGCTTTAATGAAGTAGAACTGTCACAAGAAGAAGACGGTTTATAAAGAGCAGAGCTGTGTTGCTCTTCAACAGAGCACTGAGCCGTGATGGAGACTCACGGCAGATAAACTCTAATCAGATTTTTTTTTTATTGGTCAGCTTCAATAACACAAAACAAAACTCTGCTGTCTATATGAGCTTTCATGAGACTGCAGAGATCAGAGACAGGAAACAAGGGAGAGAGATACCACACAGGTCCTCAGCTGGACTCTTAACAGAACAGTTGGCATCTTGACTCTGAAGCCATGGAGGCTCCAAAGACTCTAATGTAGACCACCTGAGATCTCAGCAGACAGACCTCCTCATTAAAATCCACTGGTAATAACTGGTTCCCCTGCAGTCTTTAAATCCAGACCTGGTTTCCATCTTCCTCTAACGCTGGTGGACAGATTTCTTTAAACTCTCAGAAGTCCAGTTTGGCTCTAAAATGAATCTTTTATCAACAGTAGACTAAAAAACCTTCTTGAGGGTCTGTGTGGTGGTTTCATCTCCTCCTCATGGACGTGGTCTAGAAGCCCGTTCAGCACCCAGACTTTATTCGGGACTGTACGCGCCTACAAATGTGCCAAATGTGCCAAATGTTAATGCTCAGAACACGTCTGTGTAGCAGATACCCAGTGTAGTACGTACAGGACCAGGTTTTTGGACTGTTTTGGGGGGGGGGGGTTGGAGAGCAACACACAAGCTCAGTACACCAGACATACAGCTCTTTGTGCAGCCAGACCCTGAGAGATCAGTGCTGAAACATGAACCAATATGTAGTCGCTCTGGTGGTCTCAGTTTTCTGTGGGGTACGTCTTTCTTAAAGTGGTTCAGACTTTGTGTTGTGTTCAGGGACTGTGAGCACCTAATGAACTCACCTTGTCATGGACACTCAGCACAGCTGTTAGTGAAGTGGCTCTTCTCTCTTTGCCTTACACCTGCACCGTCCCACGGGGACACGCTGCAGTATTCATCAAACACACCCCAGCTGTACCTGAGCACTAGCACCGCCCACGGCTCTCACCTCCCCTTGGGAGGGGGGGATCACAGGTGTGGGTGCTGCTGAGAGCTAAACGTCACACAAAGCAAACACAACACAAAACTTCCTGTTTAGTGAATGTATGAAACACCTTCATCTTCGTCTTCATCAGCAGAAACAGACTCACCAAAGATGAAGCTGATTGATTTGCCTTTATGTGTCAGTTTGTAAAACGAGGACTGAACCTGAACCTGAATGTAACACATGACCTCGCCTGAGGTCACCTGAGGTCACCTGATGTCTCATTAATAACCTGTCATATCTGTTCACTCAGACACACAGTGACTCAGTTCTTATTGGCTCTGTGTTGATGATGATGCTGCTGTAACATCTGGAACACCTGTAATACTGTTTGCAGGTGGTTACTGGTCTGGTACTGGTCAATGATGAAGACCAGTACAGTCTCAAGACCACCAACCACCACACAGTGGCTCACTTTGACCCTGGTCCCTGTTGCAGTTTAATCCAGCTGTGGTCTTGGTCCAGGGTTTGGGAGGTTGTGGACTCTGGTGGGGGGGGGTTCTCCTCGGGGGTCTGGGAGACAGGTGACAGGTGTGTGTGGTTCAGCAGCAGCAGCAGGAGTCAGTGTACCTGGTCCAGGTATCTGGAGGTGTTTTACAAAGCCTGTTTAAAAAAACTGGAGGTAGTCACGGCGATATGACCTGACCTGTTAGATGGAGAATCAGAGAGGGATCAATCTGATCAATATTAAATATTCATATTTGATCATTAATAACTTGCTAATTTATTGTATGAGAGATAAATAAAAACCCTGCCAGCACCTGAAACCAGCACACCACTTATTGTTAACCAGATACACTGATCCAGTTAATTCTCATCTCACTAACTGCACTTTCAGGTTTGTTTAATCCTGGATATGAAGTTGTCTCTAATAACTTATTTTGAAATAAAAAGTTGAAACCAGGATTAGATGTTAAATGATCAGCCGATCGTTGATCATGGGATCGGACTCCTGATTGACAGTAGCGGTTCATTCTTGCAAAAACAGGTCCAGATCAAGTTTAGTTCAAGTCAAGATCAAGTCGGGTTTGAGGGACTGATAAATTCAGGCTTGTGTTAAATCAACACCAATCAACTCAAGCTAACAGGATCCTGGACTAGACTTAATCTGGACCAGGACCAGGTTTTGCTCTTAAGGGCTGGTTCCAAGCCTGTGCCCTGAACTGATGTCAGGCTAACTGATGATAAACCCAGATTATTGTGTAGAACATCTGCTCAATGTAGATCACGACAATTCACATGACCCTGCTGCCACTCGGACTGTCCTCTCACTCTAGTGCCTGCCCCCACCCCCACCCCCACCCCCCCGTCTTTGTGAGGCTTCCTGTCTCGTACAACACATACACACAGCACTCTCCTCTCATACATACACACACTCTAGATGCATGCTTTTCTCCACACAATGACAGATGTTGACACTGTCTCTCTGTCAGCTGGACAGTCTTCATAGCTTGAAGTGTAATAGTAAGCTCTGCTTTCTCTCTTTATCCCACTATGATAACCCTGCTGATGTGTTACAGGTTTGTGTTCGTGATATGAAACCAATAAAGAAACTTTGAAAAGACAACACAGAGACTGGAGTCTGAATGGATCTGGTTTAATCAGGAATAAATGCGACAATTCATTCTGGCTCATTAAGAAGTTTGTGTTTAATTAGACACGTTATTTACATTAAAGACATTTAAGACTGACACTTCAGCTTCCACAGCTGGTTTATATACAAAACAGTGGTTGTGCTTGGCAGTGACGGAAACAAGCATCACACAGAGGATGTGAAACCAGTGACGTAAACACTGAGCCTGTTTAACCTTTAACATTCTTATGATGTTTTTATATAATACAGATATATGCTGAGTGAAATAATCATCAACACCATGACTGAGTGTTTCCACCTTGAACTGCAGTGAACCAATGACAGGCTCACAAAGACAGATTCAGACAGCCAGGGCTTCATACGGCACAAACCTCAGGAACCAATCCAGTCAACTTGTGGGGACGGGGGGCGGGGCTAAATAAACCTGAAACCTTGTCAGTACAGAGAGAGAGAGTTAGCATTAGCACAACCACTAACACTGTCAGCCAAGGTCAGTTACAAGCTAACAAACAACATAAACCAGTGGGTCCCAACCTTTTCCAACTTGAAAATCTCAAAAATTTTGGCGACTCACATCCGACCAACATCCAACATAACTTAACAAAGGCCAAATAATGTGATTTTAGACCACTATTTCTTTTTAATGATTAGGTTGATTAATCTTTTTCCTTTTAACTCTTCCTGTTGCTAATCCGCTCTAAATTTTCATTCTCCAGTTTTTGCCCTGGATGTGATCTGTCAGCGTGCAATCAGACTGAGATAGAAACAAGTCTATGATGTGGAATGATGTGAAAAATAAAATGGATGGAGCTTTTCAACATTTTTTAATATTTTTTAAATATAATTTAATTTAGAAACATTAAATTTTTATTATTATTATTTATATTTTTAAATATAATTACATCTTTTCACCAAAATTTTACAGTTTTGCAAATGATTTGTCAGCCCAAAGGTAGGGAGCCACTGACATAAACAAATAAAAGATGCTAACTGCGCTAACCGTTCAGATCCGTCTGCTAGTCTCTGGTTCTGGCCTCAATAGACTCCTCATCTGAGTCTGGGTCTGACTGAGGCTCAAACATGTGGCTGAGTCTCTCTGATGTTTCCTCCTCTAACCATCACGATACTTTCTGCTCTTTCACCTGTCCACCTGGAGACAGCAGGTGGTGGGCGGGGCATATGTCCTGATTTCTCAATCAGGAAGTAAGAGTAGATGAGCTTCAGACCCAGTTTTATAAACAAAATATGAATCATAGCAGAGGATTTTTAAAACGTATGGTGTTTTAATCATGTTCAGGTTTGCGTTGGTCAAATAAATCATGAGGAAGAAGAGTGAGGGAGGGAGCACTAACTATCTTTAACACTACAGACAATAATCGATCAATAACAGACCCTGAGACGTAACATTTCTTCACTGATCTGAAGTCAGAGTTAAGACTCCCAGGTGTTCCTCCAGTGCAGGTTCACCTGGTTGCTCTGAACCAGGTGAGAAACTTAAATAATATAAATAAGCAGAGGGAGGGTGAGTTCACTGAAGGTGGTTTTTAATTCTCTTTAAATACTTTTAAAAAAACTTTACAAACATCTGGTTTCTGTAATAATGTTAATATAAATGTAAGAATCCCTCAGAGTGTAAACACTGTTATTGGCCTAAAGCATGAATTTAACTGTGTGTGTGTGCCTTTGATGTGTGAAGTGTTGTGATGAGTGTCGTGTGTGTGTGTGTGTGTGAGTGTATGTGTGTGTGTCAGACGGCGCTGTGCAGTGGAGTTCCTGTGGTGTGTGTGGGGGAGGGGGAGTGTTCAGAGGAGGAGGACAGGGAGTGGGAGGTGGTCTCCTTCTGCAGCTCATCCACCCTCCTCTGCAGCTCTGCTCTCAGGATCAGCAGCTCCTTCAGGGTCTGGTGCACCGGCACCTGAAACACATCACACATCATGATGCTACAGCACGGATATAAATGTAGCATGTAACAGTACAATAGCACCACAGTCATCCATCCAGATGGAGCTGCTGCAGTCGCTGCCATTGAACTACCACAGAAGAAGAAGAGGTCAGTTAAATATCCAGTCAAAGCTTAGACAATGAAAATGTTTGTTTCCTGCGAGGAAGGCTCTAGCTTCCTCATCATCATCCTCACACAGCTGATGTTTTTACACTGATTCACATGTGTGTCACATTTTTCTTAGAGACAGACATTTGGGTTTAAACTGTTGGTTGGACAGATCTTGGATAGATTTTTCACTGTTTTCTGACATTTTATAAACAATTAATCAACTGATCACAAAAACAATCAGCAGATTCACCATCAATTCAAATAAATTTCCGCCATTATTCATTTTACAAATAAAATCATGAGTAAAGTTTTATTTTATGTCATGTATGTATAATATCACAAGTCATTATTTTACAACTAGTGTCATTCAAAATTAACTGTTTAACTGTTATGATAAGAATTTTTAATACTGTCAGTTAAACAGTTTAATTTCCTGTGACATCAGCAACACCTGAGCAGACTGACTCCACACAGTCCACATGTGTGAATAAAAACCAGGAGACACACTCAGACCTGAACCTGTTTATTTTAGTCTGAGGTCTGAAATCATTTCTATATTATTAATCTGTTGTTTCTGATCATTAATCAGCTGAGAGCAGAGGAGGAGGAGAGGAAGGAGGAGGTTCTCAGTACAGTGTTCTTGGCGCTGGAGGATTCAA